ACACCGGATCGCTGGTTCCGATTTTTGCCATGTTGGAAACTTTATAGTTAAACGATGGTGGCGCCCCCCTGTCAATGAGTTTGGTGGGACAGTTTATTGTAGGTCATCTTTAACCCTGAAAACTGAGAGATGTTTTGACAGCTTATTAAAATACAAAGACTACTGGTGTCAATAACCCTTAACGTACAATCCGATCCGTTTATCCCTGTCATTGCCAATTATCCCAGTGTGAATGGGCCCTAATCACGGGCTCTCCTAGACCTAGATAGCCACTGGAAGACATCAGTGCGCCTGATTCCTCTGGAAGCGAGAGCCTATTATTGTCCAGCGAGATACGCATTATCTAACACAATTTGTTGTAACCAACTGCTACGTTTAATACGACCAATATTTGGTGCTTATCAACATGGAAGTAGGTACCCTTTATTTTTTGTTTTACTTAAAAATTAATAATCTTAGGGATTTTTTCTCAAACACATTTAGAACTTATTAATGAAGTAAGATTAGTAATCCCAAAAATTACCTTCTGCAATGGAAATATGAAAAAAGCAGCTAACTGCATTATAAAACACAGTTACTTGGGCTGAGTTGCACCACCTAACTTTGACTTTAACAAACGTGAAAAATATGTCAAACTCCTTACAAAAAGCACCAGTTATTGTTATAGTTACGGTCAAAGTAAGTTGGTGCAACTCAGCCTTAAAAATCTTAAAATGGACTATATTATCTTATGCCTAATTTTGAGACGGTCTATGTCTGCCAAAAAGGTAAAGTCTAATCTTAATATCGAATATACAATAGATAATTGTATGATACTTACTTCACTGAATCACCATCAAACATGTCATAATATTATAATGACTTATTTCGCACGATTTCCCTTTGCTCCACTAGCTTTCCGCCCGCGGCTTCGCTCGCGTCGAATTTTTTGGTTTTTTATATAACCTATGACACTCAGCAATAATGTAGCTTTCTATTGGTGAAAGAATTTTTAAAATCGGTTCAGTAGATCCCGAGATTACATACCCCTTACAATTTAACAAATATACAAACACACAAACTTTACCTCTTTATAATATTAGTATAGATAATCTTATTTCACAAGTAAATCCAAGCACGTGATACATAACATAGGCATGCACTTCTATTTACAGAATATCAAGGCCGTCTGATAATTTTTTAATTAGTTCCATATTTTTTTTAATTATAGTATCAGAGTTTACGAGGGACTTAATCTATATTACATACTTTATAGTTCAAGAGCCCGGCTTCGTCTACTTTTTTCTTACTTCTAAGAGATATTTTGCGATAGGGTTTCCTCAATCCTCCATAAGTTTAACTAATTCTAGGGGAGACCGAGGCGAGTTGTAAGAGAGGAGATTTGTAACATTGTTGATTTTTTTTAAACTTTTGAACTACTAGCGAGCAGAACAGTGCGCGTTTTTAGTTCAAGTCTCGAGCTAACGAATGCGAGCTGTTGCAAGCTCGCTGATAGTTAATAGGTTTCCAAAAATCGACAATGAATGTCTTAACTCTCCTTGGTCTCCCCTATGCTCGTTTGTTGCCAAAGAAATAGTAAAGCCAGATGAGAGAGTGGAACCTAAAGAAAAAGTTGAGGCTTCTTCTTTTTTCTATTTTTATTAACTTAATTAGGAATATTTAATAAAAAACCTTGCCCTAGAAAATGCCAAAAAGATAACAAAATGACCCGAGCCTTACACTTTCAAATATCATTTGATTAATATAGAAAAAAAAAGAAAAACCTTGACACCTCTTCAAATTTTTCTGAATAAGATTAATTTCACTGGTCTAAATTCTGAATCAATATTGATTAGAAATAATAAAGTATTTACAGCGGGATTCGAGACAAAACAATCATTGAGTGACATGCCGAAGTAACCGCGGGTGAGGTCGCGGGCAGATGCTAGAATTTTTATTTTTATTGTTATTAAACTTAATCATTAATTTAGGTATTAAAGGACTAAAAAAAGGAAAAAAATCACAAAAAAGGGCAAGTTACAAAACACAACATTAACTAGCTAAGGAGAGTACTTTATTGTCCCCAAAGATTTTGTACCAGTAAAATTAAAAAATAGCGATGAACAGAATTTAATAAATTAACCTGAATGATGAGCTCTTAGACACAAAAGATTTGGCAGCGTTTTTTCATCGTAAACACAATTTAATTGTCCACGGCAGATATGGCCAACAATCGCAAGTCCGAAGAGCGCTGTCTGGTACACAATATTAATTTGTTTTCGTCTTTACTTTCCTGGGAAAAATAAGACATTATTAACTATTAATTACATCTAAAAAGTCGGATGACTTAGCCTCTGAGGTAATAATTATCACTATAGGCTAGCGTCCAGTGATAAATAAATAGATTAACTATCTTTAATGATAAACGCTGATCTTAGATAGTTCCGATCTTAATCTTAGATCTTTGCCTAGCTTAAGATCCTGGATAAAAAAGTTGGCAACTTGACTCATACTAAAATGTTCAAGAAACTATATTCAAAGATCTGGTGAAGGTCGCGGGAGGTGCCTGGATGCTGGCGGCGCAGGACCGGTCTTTGTTAAAATTCTTGGGGGAGGCATTTGTCCAACAGTGGACGTCATTCGGCTGAAACAAACAAATATTCAGAAGAAGTCTATATTAGGAATTGTCTTTGGTATTACTAGATTCATAATGCACCTAGCATTATAAATGGCCGCTGCTTATTATAGGCAGTAGGGTTATAATGTGTTTACTTACATTATACGAGTATCATTGAACGAAAATTAATCTTATTTATAGTTTTAGATGGACCAATGGTAGCGAAAAGATACTTCAAGCATAATTATGGTGTATTACTGTGGTGAACAGCAGTTAGAATGATGATGATGGAATTTTAGACTATGCTGTACTAATTAGCAGTAAAATCTAAACATATATAACTCAAAGGTGACTGACTGCCTGACTGACATAGTGATCTATCAACGCACAGCCTAAACCACTTGACGGATCGAGCTGAAATTTGGCATGCAGGTGGATGTTATGACGTAAGCATCCGCTAAGAAAGGATTTTACGAAACTCCACCCCTAAGGTGGTAAAACGGGATCCACGCGTACGAAGTCGCGGGCGGTCGCTAGTAATTTTATAAACGCAGCGTACTCATAGGGCAAATAACTGTAAATAGCGATATTTTTCTCGTCAAATATCTTTGCTTGAGCTGGAGCAAGCCACTATCGTGCTAACAGTATTATTGTAGCTTTTATTACTCTACACTTGACTTGCCTTAGCTGCGCGTACGTCGTGTTTTCCAAATCGTTAAATCCTCTAATAAATACTAGTGTTTATTCAAAAGAACGGCCGACAAAGGAGTTTTTGCTTCTCAAGACTAGCGGCCATGATCGATTTGTGTTAAAAAGTTAAAGTGTATCTAATATACAGTGTGCTACGTCGTATATTTGATTGATTGCTCCCAGTGGCTTCGCCTTCGCGATGTCGAAGCATCTTAACCCAAACTACACCCCTATGGGGATTCAACTGTGTGATGTCTGTCGATTTATCTTGGTAGGTACTCATTGTTTTATTAGTCTATTCAGGTTAAATTGTAGTCCGCAGGACCGGTATTTGTGGAAATCCTGGGGGAGGCCTTTGTCCAGCAGTGGAAGTTTTTCGGCTGAAGCGAACGAACGAACGAAATTGTAGTATCTATAGATGTCTTAATTTGCAGATTTCTTTTTTCCGGGCTTTTCCTTTTTTTCACTTGTTTAGTTTTTTTTTGGTAATGTATTGTTTTTGGTCTGAAGTTTTATGTTATTGCAGAATATTCTTAGGCTGAGTTGCACCACCTAACTTTAACGGTAACTATGACGATGACCGGTGTATTTTGTATGGAGTTTGACAGATTTTTGACGTTTGTTACAGTTAAAGTAAGATGCTGCAACCTAGCCTTAGAGCACTAAATACGACATACTTTCGTCAATTTTAATAACAGCCCGCAAAACAAATATATTTAGTTTGTAGGTAGCTTAGGAGTAGTGAGTTTTTCACTCCAGGATATTAAAGTTGTTATACTGTCAAATAAAGTAGATTTTTCTAGCATATGAATAAACGCGATCAAAATCAAAATGAACTAATTAGCTCAATAAAAAAATCTTTATTGTGATAAGATTTTTTCACATTTGCAAGGTCGCACGCACATGTCGACTGTAAAAACACCAAAGTGCATGTTGCGAACTACGTAACGTTTCGTTATCTAAGTTGTATTATGAATCGTTGTTGTTTCATTAATATTTGTTATTAGTCATTCATTGAGTGTTACGTGCACATCGTGACCTTGGTATTCGTATCACTAAGTAAAGCTTAGCTTAGCTTTATCGTCAAACCAGGTTAAAAGTTTGAGTCTAGTCAAAAATTATATAATCTAATAAATAAATAAACTTTAAACTTTTTTTCTTCCTTTATTATGTGCAGAATTCACCAATATTCACTCACGGCTTCTGTCGACGTATTTTAGTATTTTCTCCAATTAATATTTTGACATATCCTCATTGGCTATAAACTTCTTTATAATAAATAAGGAAACTATTTCAATCATAATATTTTGACAGTTGATTAAATAAATATGTCAAAATATTTCTTGATAAAGAAATAGTGCAAGTGAACTGAAGTGTTGTGTTTGTGTAAACAGGGCAGCAGGGTGGCGAACAACAGGGTGCTACCGCAGAGGTGCGCAGCATCGAAGCTGGACGAAGAACAGAAGCTGCGAAGCGTAGCAGATGATCGTAGTAGCGCGGCGCAGCGTAGCGGTGTAGCAGGGAGCAGAGCGGAGCAACGCCCGGCGCGTCGTAGCAGGGTGGAGCAGAAGAACGCCGTAGCAGATCGCAGCAGCGGAGTTCGTAGCGGGCGTTGCAGCAAGGAAGCGAAGCAGGGCGGCAGAGTGGCGAAAGAGGTTCGCCGTCGGGCGCCCAGGGCCGCCGCTTCGGCCGCCGCTTCGGCCGCCGCTTCGGCCGCCGCTTCGGCCCCCGCGTCTGCTGCGCGCCGTAACGCATGGAAACACCCTTTGTTCAGGTACGTGCTTTTTACGATCTCCCCTTTTCTCTTTCTTTAGACAGAATGTTTAGAATTTGTAGACAAAGCGACTAGAAAATTTATTATTAGTTAATCTAAAGGGCCAAAAGCCCGTAGACACTGCTGCTGCATTTGAAAGTCATACACATGTTTTGAAAGTAAATCAAAGGATTACATAGTTTGCGGGGACCTCTTGTCCCTGTCTCTTTAATTCGAGCCATCATAAATGTTTCACATTATTTTACCACATAAAAAAAACAAATATTCTTCAACACGTAGGCATACTTATAACATTACGTTCCTACTAATTACCCTCTTTAGCGCTGCGCAGTTGGTTGGAAAAGTCAGTTTATTTCTAGTTATAATTTTCCTATTGGTTCAACTTCTATAAGTGTAGTTGCAAATGACTTGAAAAGTGCTTATGCAATTAGAAACAATCAAATACCACTTTCCGACGATCTAGCTAATTTTCCAGAAATATCATGGCGGTTCCTTGAGTGGTCGATATACCATAAACGATGCAAATGAATCAATTATACATAGTTACAGTGCCATGCAGCTGAATAATGCCTATCTCTAAAAATAATGCGATCGATTGACTGCTTCAAGTTTAACAGCAACGACTTTGGGAAACTATAAGTAGAGGTTAAGTGCACGACACATCACACAACAAAACATCAACCAATATTCTGCCAACTTATTTTTTTTTAATCCACAACGAGGAAGTTCTTGGCCTGTATCTCGCCTGATGGTAAGTTATGATCAAGCCGAAGGTGGAAGCGAGCTTCACCCGGAATCCTCGACCACGGAGGAACTGGCTATCTTACCTCTAACTGCCGGAACACAACAATGCTGTTAACATTGTTGCCGTTTCATTTTTTTCACAAAAGTGAAACTCACACATTGCTTTTCCTCTTCGTACTAAGTTCGGTGTGATAATATAGGCGGATGTACGAAATACCGAGTTAGACGAATATCAATCAATACTCACATTTGATTCAAAATCTCAGCCTTGGCAATCAACTTTTTATTATTTTCGCCATGGAAAACTCGAGCGACGCCGGGCACAGTCGAGTGTACACCAGCGCATCAGGCGTACCGCGGTGACCTTGAGGCCGCCCTTACACCGCGGAAATAAGATCGACTTTTGCACTGCAACTGATACACTTGACGTGCCGAGTGTACATATGACAAGCCGGTAATTGGAACTGGACAGACAGACACGACGATCGTTTTATGTATCACCCAGATGTTTGGGGAATTTATGGGGTTTCTTTATTACTTTGGTAGTGACGTGTTTTTAAAAGCCATATCTGTAATCAAATTCCCAGTTGTATGTCGCATGTTTATTACTAGAGTTCGCCCGTGATCGTACAAAGTGTAACTAGATAAGTTGGGGGTGCGATGGGATGACGGGTCATTAAAAATCGTGTGTAATTAAGTTGATGTGCGTGGGTACGCGTGGTAATCGTTTTCAACCGACTTCAAAAAGGAGGAGGTTCTCAATTCGACCCGTATGTTTTTTTTGTTTTTTTTTTCTATGTTTGTTACGCGATAGCTCCGCCAATTATGAACCGATTTGAACAAATCTTTTTTCAGCGTATAGGTAATATCTCAAGGGTGGTCCCATTTAAATTTAATAATAAAAAAAACAACCCCCAAGGGTGGAAAATTGGGGATGAACTTTTTTATAATATACATTAAGAATATGGTCTCAATGTACTGCCTACCTTCAGTGGTAACATCAAGGTAATAATTAGTCAACTAAAAAGCAAGAAATAAATAAATTTTATAAAAAAAAAAAACCGACTCCAAAAAACCTACACTAAAAAGCAGAATAATAATTACTAATTACCTACTTATTTATTAGGACGAATTATTAATATTTATGTAGGTATACCATGATTGATACTTTTGGAGTCGGTGCAGGCAAACTTTACATGTTTCATAATCTTGGCACCGACTCCAGAAGTATCAATCATGGTATACCTACATAAATATTAATAATTCGTCCTAATAAATAAGTAGGTAATTAGTAATTATTATTCTGCTTTTTAGTGTAGGTTTTTTTCTAAGTAGAACCTCATTATTTCATTACTTTCCAATCATCTGACTCTTATAGAAGGGAACATCTTAGACATCATTATCAATAGACATTACAGGGCAGATATGTACCATCCTAAACTACATCTCACTTAACATCAGATGCGATTGCGGTTCAATACCTGCCTTGTCTTGCATAAAAAAATCTTGTTTGTAACTAATGGAAATAAAATGTACCCCAGATTTTAAAGAACTGCGCTCTCTCGGCATCGAACTTACTAGGTAAGACAAAAATCAAAATCAAAAATATTTATTCAGTTTAGACCACAAGTGGCACTTATGACATTAGTACATGTCCGCGTGTAGAGCTTAGGGTAGGTCACCTGTGTAATAAATAACTATAGTTCATTGATTTTGATTTGCTTAAAATAACAAAAACCTATTTGAATGTTTACACATATTTTTGTTACCAACCTGATGCTAATATGTACCAACTTGTTACAATCGATAATATAGCGATTGTAATAAGTTAATGGCGCAGCCTTTGTCCATGTCATGTCATGACAAAACAAGGCACCGGGCGAGAATCTATAAAGAATTGCATCTCAACACTCCGGCGAGAAATAAAAACAGAACCAACTCAAACAATTGTAATATTACTAAAGATGCTCGGAGCAAAGTGCAGGCGCCTCATTGGATAGTTTAATTTGCAAAGAAAACACGAGCTTTCCTAAGAAATCGCTTCCCCGATAATAAATATTGTATTTCCCTTCCCTCGAGTTGCTTTTATGGAATTTTAACAGGCTGATAAAATAAAATGCGGGCGGTTTTTAATTTAAAACAGCCGGTTACTAAGTTTAATTTGAATAGATGATTTACGTTTATTAATTAAGCAAGCTATATTGAGTGTAGGTACCTACGTGTGTTTGTGTGGTGCCCAAGTGTTGATTAGAGATACTTTTAGAAACTTAATTTGAGTGTATGGATATTGTGTGTGTGGTTCTTCTAATGTAAAACTAACAATTTTTTTTATCGATATCGATATTTCGAATAAAAGGACATAATATAATGTGCATCATGTTTACTAAGTAAATGCATAATCGGTGTTATGCGAAATAATGGTAATGTGAAAATTTATATTATGAAAGTGTTTTTATCGAAGAATGCGCGATATAAACTTTGTGTGGAAAAAAGAAAACCATGCGGTCTATGCCGTGGTCAGAAGGTAGTTAAATATAACTATGGCATTGATTTAAACTGGGTTCGATTTACGTGTAGCGTTTTGGTGGTTGACATACCTCTTATTTATATCATTTTGAGCATCAATATTCAAAGATAGATTTAAACGCTCGTAGGTAGTGTGCACCCAGCCTTATGAATGAGTGTGTGTAACTTTATTTTGTAATACTAGGGTACGTATTTGATAAACGTTTGCGACTCGCTATTGTCATATTGTGACCTAGATAAAGCTGAATAAGCAGAGTAAATACAAATGAGTAGGTCATCTTCATAGCAACGCACCGAGCGCGTTTGTATGTGAGCGCGCTAAAACGTATGCGGCGCGCACGCACACACTGACAAAATTCGGCGCAACTCCCCGCTAATCCACGCTAAATTTTGTCAGTGCGTGCGTGCGCGCTCACATACAAACCGCGCTCGGTGCGATTCTATGAAGGTGACCTACTCATTTGTATTTACTCTGGAATAAGTGAATAAAAATAAACACACAGTGCGCCAGTAACTGCATCTGCATTAACTGCACTCGTTGACAAGCAGGCTTAATATCGCGCATCCGATTAGCCGAGATAACTGGTACTCATGAAAAACCTACAATGAGCTACGCAGTTGGGACGCACGGTAGAAAACAGGCCAAGTTATAATAGCAGCTATGGTAGGGCTTGTTCTCATGAGTTTTTTGTGGGAAGTACGTGTTTTATTATTAACACACAAACATCCCCCCCAAGTTTTTCCATAATGAACGGTACTACGCTGCCCGCATCCAGGCTCTTCCCGTGACCTTCACCAGATCTTTGAATTTGATCAGGGAGGCCTTTGGCTGCAGTGGACGTCATTTGGCTGAAACGACGACAATATCCCGTTTTCCGATCCCGATCCGTTCGAATTTGTAATTAATTAGACCTGCTTGAATTACTTTACCTTGATGCATAGTTTTTCCAGTATGTTTTGTTTTATAAAGCTAGGTAGGGACATTTGAAGATATAGAAAATTTTCTAACCGACCTTTTTCTTTGTGGCCAGTATGTGTGGGAGAAGTACCTATTTAACTTTGAATACGAGGGCTGCCCTAAAAGTATCGGGAATGGAATTTTCCACTGTTCCAGTCATATTAAAATCTATTTAATTGCAAACTCCAGGGTTTTAAAAATCGTATACCATTTATTTATTTAAAAAAAGATTCTCGGTCGTATCACAAGGTCTTGTCAAACTTGTTTAGTCGTTGAGAAAATGGAATTGACTCGAGAAAATTCAAGAGCGATGATTTATTATGACTTTTGAAGTGGTTTAACACAAAAACAGTGTGTTGACCGGATGATTTCTGCATTTGGTAATGAAGCCCCATCCAAAACCACAATTTATCGCTGGTTTATTGAATTTCAACGTGGACGTGTCAAGCTCAGTGATGATCCCCGTCAAGGTCGTCCAAAAACTGCAGTCACCTAAGAAAACGTTGATGCTGTGCGTAAGCTGATTGAAGAAGATCGACATGTGATATACCGCGAAATTCAGGCAACTTTAGACATTGGCATGAGTCAAATACAAATAATCTTGCATGAACAATTAGGTGTAAAAAAGTTGTTTTCCCGATGGATACCGCATTCGCTCTGTGAAGAGCAAAAAGCGGCTCGCGTTACTTGGTGCGTCAGAACTCTCGGGAGATTACATGCAGGATCCTCAAATGCTGTATACAACATCGTATCAGGTGACGAATCATGGATA